GAGCATGCATCAGTACTCCATCCTCTTAACTGTTGGGTTCCACTGCATGGATGTGCCACAACTGATTTATCTATTCACCAGCTGATGGACACTAGGGTTGTTTCCACTTTGGGGCTATATGAATAATGCTGCTATGAATATTCATGTACCTAAGTATAACTTTAAACTTAAGTAATTCGTGTTTTATGGCTTGGCTACATCCAAGCAAAGTCAGTATAAAGCAAACTTTTGCAAACTTTGCTTGGATCAGTTGTTGCCACTCAAAAATCATGTTTTTCTCTAGAAAAACATTTCCAAACAACCTGATTTGGAAACATTGAGGGAGCCCCACCTAAAATTGATTGGTCTTTTTATTCAAACACACACATTTATTGCATGCCTACTATATGCCATGTGCTGTTTGTGATGAATTAATGATTTGGAAATTCTTTTTTTTTTTTTTAAAGATTTATTTATTTATTTATACAAACACTGGGTACAGTCAGAAGCATGGGAGGGCGAGAGAATTCACCAGAGACAGAACAGCAGACACGGCAGACTGACAAAACACACTGCTGAGGGGAGCAACAGGAGAGGTCTGTGGAGCCATGTGGGACCCTTGCCAGTGGCCGGGGATAGAACCGGCGCTGCAGAGGCTGCGGGCAGCTTCGTAGCCCAGCGCTCAACCGCTGCACCACCAGGGGAGGCCCTGATTTGGAAATTCTAAGCAATGTCTTTCCCTGTCTTTCTTTGCACCCCTTGCTTCTTCCTCATTCAGTCATTCATCTCCTCACAGAATGGAGAACACATGGATGTAGGTACTTGGGTTTCAGCTTTTGAAACTTAAAAGCCAGGCAATAAATTTGGGAGCACATATGATGAGTTAGATCAAAGCGCCCTGTCTCTCAGCACCTCAACTAAATTAATCCTTCCAGAATTGAGAAAAAGGGAGTAGTTGAGGGAAAGTGAGTCCTGAAAGGCAACCCGAGAGAACCTGTTATCAATGAGCCAAAGGAATGTGTGCCTGGGTCCTCAGGGGAGCCTAGAGAGAACACACACGGCCTACTAGAATCTTCCCTTGACTCAGTTTCACCTGTGAAGTCAGAAGGATAAACTGCGGCTGCCCTGGTGGCCTAGGGGTTATGTCTTAGCAGTACCACCATGAAAGTCCACCAATGCAGCATGAGTTCGATCCCTGGCCAGGGAGTTAATTCACATGGTGCAGTAGACCTCTCCTGTCATGCCCGCTGCTCCCCTCAACAGTGTATTTCAGTACATCTGCCTCTTTTGTGCCCCACTCTGTCTCTGGTGAATCCTCACATCCCCCCACGCATCTGGCCTACACCCCAGTTCTTCTACGCAAACATAAATAAATCATTTTTAAAAATTGGGTAATCTTAGGTAGCTGCAAGTGGCTCTGAAGTAGCATGTCATTTTAGCTTCACTAAGTACCTTGGCTAAGACGAAAAGACTGAGGAAAGCACAGGAAGTCTGCTGTGTTCTCTCTGAGGATGTAATACAGAGCATCCCTGGAATGAGGGACAATACAGCAGTGACCTATGTAGACCAGTCACCAAGGTCAATGCCTTTATTGCAGCCTTGTGCAACCCTGAAGAATAAATCCAAACAATCCAACCTGGCTAATGCCAATAGCTTCCTAACTGAGCCTATCCTACTGGAATCCTCTATAATCCATTCACCACACGAAAGCAGAATCTTTTTAAAAAAAACAAATCAGGTTCTAAAATAAAACAATGCTGTTTGCAAATGCCCTGTAAATATACTAAAACCTTTTACATTGTACAAATAGGTGAATTTTAGAATGTGCAAATTTTATCTCAATAGGGCTGTTAAAAAATTGTCATTCCCCTATACATAAGCCCCTCCGCTTCTTTCCTCCCACCATTTCATTTGCCAGGTTGTGATACCTGCAAAATCCTACCTGTTCTACATCTCATTGCCCAACAGCCACACTTACCTCCCAGCCGCACTTAGCTCCCACAAAGCCTGAATCTGCTACCCCTTTCCTGCCTTCAGGTCTTGCACCTACTCCCAGCTCTGTCCGTTACACTCTTTGCTGGATTCCGAATGATACCCCATTCCCTGAATGTGAATCTCCACCCTCCTATTCCACCACCCACTCCCTTTCTATTAGATTATTCTATTTCATCAGCACTTCCCACTATTCAGATACTGTTTCGTTTCTCTGACTCAAATATAAGCTCTATGAGGGTAGGGAATCTTGTCTTTCTCTCTGAAAAATGGCACCTGCGTCATGTAGCAGGTACAAGTGTTGCTTCTAGCAGAATTTATTCTGCCAAGCTTGTCAGAAAAACATTATTATGTACCTTAGTATAACTTTGCAAGAAAAAAAAAGTTTTCAAATCTCATTGCTTTGGAATGATTTTTTTATTTTTTCACATGATATGGCAAAACTAGCAAACTTCTATTTGGGAACAGCCGGTTTCCAAAGTTAGAAACTTAAAGTAATGTTACTATTCCACCATACAAGGTGTATTATAATGCTGCTAAAGTCTCAAATTACCAGCTTGGGGCAAGGGTGGATCTTCCATCAAGACTAGGACTAAATGGCCTTTGCAGACTTCAAAGCATTAGGACACTTAGAAAAACATCTAGACCATAGAAAGTGTCCTCATTCTGTTTTCCTTGATTGTATAGAACTTTCAGAAAACCAAGGCAATATCTAAAATACATACTTACAAAAATTCCTCCTCTTAATACTACAGCCTTGGTGATTATCACTCAAGGGTGATAGAGCTCCATGTCAGCCACACACTCTAAACCACTTTTAGTAGGTTTAACATGCACACCTTAGCTGCTTCCAAGCAGTCCACATAAATTCTGTCATTTAACCTTCCCAAGAACCTATGGGACAGATCGGTATTATTAGTACTTCCTAAGGAGGAAAAAGCAAAAGTTCAACAAGTTGAAGAAACATGCCCTAGGGCCCACCGCTAGTAAGGCGGGATTCTAGCCAGGTGCTTTTCTGACAATTATTCACCCTTCTACAGGTCTCATTTGGGAAACCATAGCTGTTCTCATAGATTACGTAATAAGAAGTGATATGTTGTCAAAGGTGCTCCAGAGAATTAAGAACTGGAAATAGGATTAAGAGGGACTTGTATTCAATCAAAAATTGTTTACATTTTAGTAATCTGCATATTCTTGACAAGTCATCAGTTTGGCTAGTAGTATCACAAATTACCTATCACTAACCTGTGTTCATCGTAGCCCTGTTGACTCATGGAAATATCACAAATACTTATGCAATCTTTGTTTTTGGTATTTTTAAGGAATGTGTTTCCACTGTTTATAAATGGTCTTATCAATCGTAGGTGCAACTTTTAAAACTTTTCAGAAGGAATTGTTTTAATAACAAACCCTTTACTGTATCAGGAAATATTTTCACATTAGGAATTAGGAAGTGCTTGCTTCCAAGGAGTTCTTAATAATTATAAATGTAGACTTTTACAGCTTATATTCTATGTGGAACCTCACTGACATTAAAACTGATACCCTTTTCTAGGCCCACCGGATGCCTGATGTTAATTTCTGTTCCAGATCTTATAATACCTTGAATTCTCAAAAGTCTTTGAGAAATCTGTTAAACTAATGGCCAAGGATTTCTCTTTTAAGCTCTAAATACCTAGCATATCCACCAAGACCAATGGTTTCTCCAAAAACTAGGATATCCTTACATAAATATCTAAGCACCTAATCTTTAGAGACTTAAGATTTAATGAATTGTGATGTATACTTTAGGGGAAATGTTAACAATTTACTCCTGGAGAGAATGCTGTCAATAACTTGGGATGAGAAAAGCCTTCCACCAGTTTATTCACTATTCACATTTTATTGCTCTTGGCAACCAACTGGCATTAAAGAGAAAGCCTAATTTATCAGTATTTTTTTTTTTTGCATACCCTTTTTTCCTATCCCTATTCCTACATGCTCCATCTCCTCTCCCCACAAGTCAGCCACTTCACTCTGCAACAGAACATATTCCAGCTGCTTCCTGTAACGACCTGTTTATCTATTCTTTGCCTTTGAAACTGAATGACTCTCATAGGTCTCATTACTCCAATAGCTGATTTTCATGAAGGACCTGAGGGGCTACTGGATCTTAAACTGCCCTCTAAATCAAAGATTTAATGATGTTCTCCAGATTTTTAATATATGAAGTACTAATTGTTTGAAAGTGTGAAACATATATCATAAAAATAACTTGTTTTCAGCAGAATATGCATCAAAGTTAAGTCATCTTCTGGCTCTGCTGTGGGGGCCACATATATAGATAATTAGACAGATATATCGGCTCAATAAATCATGAGCTGCAGAAGACAAACTAAAAACTCCCATAGTCTATGAAGGTATTAATCACACAAGCACATGGGACCTTAATAAGCTGACAATGATAATGCACTCCCCAAACTGTCTAATTTAGCATGCTGGCTAGTAAACTTTGGTTTGGGCACCACCTAATGGCTGAAAATGCTTTTCAAAACTCCTACTTTGCTTCCTGATGCTTGTATTTCAGGTATATTGATTTAGAAAATGTCTGTTCTTTTTTGAAGTAGTTAGATAATAGTTTTAAGTGTTACCTTTTCTTTAAAAGATTAAGTTCTTTCTACACCAACAATGGAATAAAAAATCACCTTTTACAGTGGAAAGTATGCTAGTGAAATGAATACTATATTTTATTCCATCTTTCAAAATTTACATCTGGCCTCATAATTAAGAAATGCATTTTAACTGAAGCATCTTAAAGGCTCTCAAACTCTTCTTCACTGTATATCCTTATCTGTCACAAAAAAGTTAATCTTTCTGAAAATTACAATTAATTTATCTAATTCATGGCTGAAACCAATTCTGAGTGCATGAATAGTGATAGACACACTTTTAAAACCAAACACATTTAAACTTTTTTCAAGAAGTCCTTTACCTGAACCTAATGTTTGTTTTGTGATTCAACAGAGGCAAAATATTTAGGATCATAAAGAGCAGATAACCAATGTTTTAAGAAAAGGTATTTATTATTTACACCACTGACATAGTCCCGTAAGAACAATATACACTATATTTATTTGAAAGGATCAGGTTCCTTTCAAATACAATAACTGTATAAATCAATACCATCAATGCAGAACTGTGAGTTCATTATGTATCTGCAGGCTTAAGCGTTGCAAGTAAGTTTTTTTTAATCCTATGGCTAGATATTTTCACTGAAACATAGTGTCTACACTGAGAGGAGATGTAGCTGTAACAGAAAAGAACCTTTATGTTCATGCTTTTTAGGGCTGAATCAGTGACACGCCCATTTTTTAATGTATTGCCTTTAAGACAATAGTTTAGCAGAAGTGCTTCTACTGAGTCACCCCAAAACAAGACACACTGGTGTTCCTTAGTTTCATTCTTCAGTCTCGTGGTTTCTATTTCTCATAGTATGACATAACTGTATCACAGCTGACATTTTCCAGTTTGACTCAATGAACACTGACACACACAGACCAAACAGACAGCTCAGAAATCAGAGGCGTAAATAGCGGAGTATGAAGAGAAACTGTGTCTATGACAAAGGAAAAAATTCTCGGTGGTTTTATACACAACCAACTAGCCTCCTTACATTTTTTTCTTTTTGGTTTTAAGGGAAACATGGTGGTTTCAAAATGGGTCTGGTCTTACATTTAGTCAGAAACAACATACCAAGACAAAAACACCAATATAACTTGTTTCCAAAGTTACAAAATGACACTGTTGAGTATACACTTTTGTTCACTGGTGTGTGTGTGTGGGAGGAAGCTCAGTAATCAATGCTGGAGAAAATATTTTTCAAGAGTAACAGTATATTCATATAGGGGAGAAAAGGATTTTTATTTTTTTTTAGCATATTGCTATGATCTTCAAAAAATATAAAATTAAATTTACAAAATACTGGAAGACCAAGTATAAGCAGTCTGGTGTATGCTTCAGTGTCCAGCACTATCATAATGATTTCTAGCATAAAAGCAAGAGTTCCTGGATCTCAAGTATCTTCAATAACTGCCAGAATAATCTGTACCTATTGTCCTTGCTTCTTTGAAAGATACCTGCAAAAAATAAAACAAAGATGTCTAAGTTGTATCATGCTAAAATCACAGTAACAACAGTAACATTCTAACTTTTCTCCCAAAGGAAAGCAGTTTAATTTTTTTTTTGAGATTTATTTATTTATTTATACAAGAACCGGGGTCCAAGCCAGATGCGCAGGAGGGTGAGAGGATTCACCAGATACAGAGCAGGGAGCAGAACAGGCAGACTAATGAAATACACTGCTGAGGGGAGCAGTGGGCGAGACAGGAGAGGTCTGCCGCACCATGTGGGACCCTCGCCGGCCAGCCGGGATAGAACTGGAGCTGCAGAGGCTGTGGACAGCTTCACAGCGCTGCGCTCAACTGCCGACGACACTAGGGGAGGCCCAGGAAAGCAGTTTAATAGCAAAAAGTTCCAAGATGAGTAATAACTGTCAACAATCCCTAACATCTATTGGTTATTTTCCTTCTAAGCACTGTTCTACACACATATGTTAACTCATTTAGTCCCTACAACAGTTCTATGAAAAGTCTTCTATTAGAATGTATTCCTACTTTTCAGGACAGAGTAGTAAAGCAATATCCCCAAGTTCACGCTGCTGGAAAGCGCTAGGGCTCAGATACAAGGCTCTCAGACTGTACTTGAACCACCAAACTGCCTTACTTCCAAATGTAAAAGTGCATATATAAATTATTATTGTCATTTCTATTTTTTTAAAGATTTATTTATGTATGCATACAAGAACTGGGGTATAGGCCAGAGGTGGGGGGCGGGTGAGAAGATTCACCAGAGACAGAGTGGGGAGCAGAATAGGCGGACTGAGTGAAATACACCGCTGAGGGGATCAGGGGGCGAAATAGGAGAGAGGTCTGCTGCGCCATGTGGGTAGCTCCCTGGCCGGGGATTGAATTCATGCTGCAGTGGCTGCAGACAGCTTCATAGGTTGCGTCTTAACCCCATGAGCCACCAGGGAGGCCCATCATTTCTAAATATAACTCAAACTCCATCCAGACATCCTATTTTTCTTGCATGAAGACAGCGGAACAAAAATGCTGACGGGCTCTGATCGGGACTGTAAAGATATTAATTTACTAAACAAAGAATTTTTCTTCATGTTATTTAGCAGTCTACCACTAAATCAGATTTTTTTATATCTCTATTTCTCACATTTATGAGTTACTATACTCAGTGGAGTGGAGATGGAGAAAGAGTTCTTAAAAACACAAGACCAGGGCAAGTTTGGATGGTGTACCCTGTAACTAGGAGGCAGCATGGCCTTTATTATCTCTCTGACTTAGTTACATCATCTACAATTGGGAGAAAGGGACCAAAGTGTCTGCCTTACCTTTTTAACAGGTTTATGGGACTCTAATAAGAAGCTGCAAAGCAAAATATGAAATTTGAAAAGTCAAAGTGTTACTACTACATGAAGTTCCTTTTCTTGCTATATCAATGGAATCAGCTCTTTAAAACTCTAATCCAAAAGATTACTTGCAGTAGCTAATAATCCTGTTGACTTTTACAGAGATATATCTCTGCCTCAAAATCTCACTTGTGGGGCCTACCTGGCAGCACAAGGGGTTAAGCACAGCACTGTGAAGCTATCCGCAGCCTCTGCAGCACGAGTTCAATCCCCGGCCGGCCAGGGAGCTACCCATGTGGCATGGCAGACCTCTCCTGCCTCGCCCACTGCTCCCTTCAGCTGTGTATTTCAGTCAGTCTGCCTGTTCTGTTCCCTGCTCTGTCTCAGGTGAATCCTCTTACCCCCTGCACCTCTGGCCTGTACCCCAGTTCTTATATGCATAAATAAATCTTTAAAAAAATCTCATTTGCATGCTGCCTAACCATAGTTTGTGTATACATTTGTGCTTAGAAAAAAGATTGCAAGATTGTACACCAAGATCGTACCTTTGAAAAGGAAAATCATGAGTAATTGCTTTTCTAGTGGAATAGTTTTCTAATCTTTCTACTACATACACAAGTTGCTTGTAATTGTTAACATTATTCAGAAAATGTTTTAGTGTATTTTATCCCAGCATTATTTTATAATAAGAGAAGAAGGATTACATTCCCACATGTTTCATAAAAGACTGACCTATCTAAGGTCACAAAATAAGTTACAGATAGTGTCACGGTGTCACAAGCATGTACCCATCTCTCAAGTCCTTTCTAGCAGAAGGTTTAAAGAGCTTCAGAGATGTGGGTTTATGAGTAAGCCGAAGGTTAAGACAAAAGGGAAAAATATTTTTGGAGATGTTCCTGAACTAGAACATATTTTTAGAATTCACCCATGTAAGTAAAAATTAAGAGTTATATAGATATGGAGTCACCAAATATTTCTTCCCTTCATTAGTGTAAAGAGGAAATGAACGAGCAATGAGCACTTACCTCTCCCAATACTTGTGATTTAGGTCCAAAAAATCATCTAATTTTGCTATTTCCTTGAGGTACTGAGTTAGTTTTAAGAGTTCTTTGTCTTTATCTCGATTTAGGTGCGCTTTCATAAAAGGCCTTATCTATTAGGAAACAAACATAATTTAACACTCAATAAGGAAAATCTACACTGTAGTGTACCATTTACACTAGAGTTGATGAGCTTAAAATGTTACCAAGTACATGATCTTCGTTTTTTTGTTGTTTTTTTTTTTAAAGATTTATTTATTTATACAAGAACAGGGGTACAGGTCAGATGCACCGGAGGGTGAGAGAATTCACCAGACAGAGCAGGGAACAGAACAGGCAGATGTACCAAAGACACTGCTGAGGGAAGCAGCGGGCAAGACAGGAGAGGTCTGCCACGCCATGTGGGTTTCTCCCTGGCTCGCCAGAAATCAAACCCACGCTGCAGAGGCTGCAGACAGCTTCACAGAGCAGTGCTCAACCCGCTGTGCCACCCACCGGGGAGGCCCTACATGATCTTAGTTTAACAGACTGTCATGGTATACAAGTTGAGAGCGTTCCCACTGCTTACCTGAATTCTAGTCCAGTGTGATCCTCACAACACCAGCTTTCTCCCTGCACTACTCTACTTTGCAAAATTTCTTAGACTTTCCCTCCTTCTATTATTCCAGGTACTTTTACTAATTAATTTCTTTCACATTAATTCATTCATGAAAAGCTTATCTAAATGAAACCTTTGTCTAACAGGGGAGTGAGATAAATTTGAACATTGATGATTTTCATTTCCAATTTTTTCTGAGATTTTCATATAGCTGAGATCTTTATAAATTTATATAAACTATTTTCTCCTACATGTTATCATAAGCCTATGTAACATTTCCATAAAATATATTTAATTCTACAAAGTTTTCCATAAAGAGAATAATCATGTTTTCTAAACTTTTAAAGTTAATATATTTTATGATAAAAAGCATTCACTTACATGGAAGGATAGTGAGGCAGAGTGGAAAATTGCAATTATTAAGGGATATATTATCTCTTAACATTGGTGGTAGTTACACATGTTGTTTTATAATAATTGATTAAACCATGTTTTGAAGTACTTTTCTTCATGTTACAGTCCAATAGAGTTTTGTTTTCTTAAAAACATCAGCTCAAATATCTCTATACAACTCAAAATAGCCTTTTGAAATGTACTAGTGAGTTTTAGATGAAACGTCTGGAATTTGCTTCAAAATACTACAGGGAAGTAGCTAGAGTATAAAGCAAATATAATCATCAATCAATTAATAAGTCATTTAAACCAGATGATGCATACATAAGGGTTCATTATGCAATTCTATGTGGTTCTCTTTACATATGGATTTTTCCATTATAAAACATTTTTAAAAAATCATACAAACTTCTATAAACACATTTGTAAGAAGAAAATAAATTACACTTAGTAAAGTACTAATAGTGATTTGGAGAAAATAAAAACTTGTAGTTAGTTATTAATTTTACATATAGCACTAAAAAATGGATGACATTTAATCATCACCTGCTGAGAAGAACAGTGAGTCCAAAAGAATTCAGACCATATCTACAAAGATCAAGAGAGGGTTTAATTATTTTTTTAAAACACTCTCTGTCATTGAGAAATATACCACCAGCTTGAAATGGACAGAAGAGATATTTCCGGGATGTTCTGCTCACATCAGAACAGGCTGGTGTCAGGGACATGCACAGCTTTGGGTCAGCTGGGCTCCCATGCAGGGTAAGGACACTGGTAAGAGCGTGCGCTGATGCAAGCACTTCTGGGCCCTCCCACTGCCAAATAGGTGGTGCCGGAGGTGCTGTTTAACAGTTATTATTAAATAACAAAACTAAAACACTCCACTGATTCTGAATCTAAAAGTTAAAACATACTAAGTGGGAACAAATCTGTTATTCTAGGACAGTCCTGCTTATTCCGCCTATCAAAAAGGACATAAGTGGGCAGGCCTCCCTGAAGGGGCAAGGCAGCCACTGCAGGCCAAGTTTGATACCCAGCCAGGGAGCTGAGCCACAAGACACAGCAGACCTCTCCTTTCTCATCCGCTGCTCCCCTCAGTAGTACATTTCAGTCAACTTGCCTGTTCTGTTCCCCACTCTGTGGTAAATCCTCTCACGCCCCGCACATCTGGCCTACACCCCAGCTACCCCAGTTCTTGTATGCCTAAATAAATAAATCTTTAAAAAAAAAAAGGACATAAGTGCCCACTAGCAGGGCAAGCATCATAAATGCTGCAGAGCATCATATGACTGCAGTCTAATATCAAAGAAACAATTTTAGGAACTTAAAATTCTTTACATTATCTGCAATCTCTTATAACATTTCTGTGTATAGATAATAAAAATGAGGGTTTTTAAAAAAGATTTATTTTTATTTATTTATGCATATAAGAACTGGGATGTAGGCATAGGTGTGGGGGGTGAGAGGGTTCACCAGAGACAGAGTGGGGAGCGGAACAGGCAATTCTAACTGAAATACACTGCTGAGGGAGCAGCAGGTGAGACAGGAGAGGTACTGTGCCATGTGGGTTAGCTCTCTGGCAGGGGATTGAACTCATGCTGCAGTGGCTGTAAATAGCTTGATATTGCTGAGACTTTAACCCCTGCACCACCAGGGAGGCCCCTAAAAATGAGGTTTTCATAGTATCAAGTGGCTTATCCATGACCCAAAGTCAAATTTAGTTTTGGTACTATTATCAGAATTCACAAAGCCTTTCATATTATATTTCACACCTTAAGATTAGCAAGTTTATATTAGATATTAATTATTAAAAATAAGCAGGCTTATCTTTAAAATCTCTGTGAAATCTTTTTTTGAGATTTCTACCAAGAGCATTCTGAAGGCCGATGATAAAGACATAATATTTAAGAACATTTCTCAACTTCAAAATCACCTCTATGTCAGTGTGGGCACATAATTAATAACTACCTTCTTAAAAGAGGCTTTCAAAAGGAGACATGAAGCTGATTACCTTGGAATGCTTAAAAATACCTCTCATGAATTAGATTTTTGGGGGGTGGGGCCAAATGTATTTTTAGGAATTCCTTCCATGATTCTACTGAGTATGCAAGTTAAAAAAAAAATCCAGCTCTAAAGTAACATGAAGAACTAGAAATTTATAATATTGCCTCTCTGCATGCAGAGATAGTAGGGCCCAATGGTGAGCTGGGAAAACATGACACTGATGAGAGCATGTTTTCTAGGAAAAACTCTCCTCTAAAATCATTCCTTACATATCATGATCTCACCCCCTTGCCAGTGCAGGAAACAACCATTAGTCTCATAGAGAAGCAAGTTTAAATCAACAGTCTTTCCTCGGACTGAAGAACACTTTATACCATATGACTGGCAAACCCTACACAAGAAAAGCATTTCTCCCAAAGTCTCAAAAAGAAACAATTTTAACAGGTGGCATAAGAACCCATTGACCTCCGGTTCTCAACAAGCAACTCTTGCATTTGTGGCCGCTGACTGCCTAAATTGGCATTTTGTCCAAAATTATTGCTACTGTCCACTAATGACCACATCAATAGTCTGGAAGGAAAGTTTCAAAAATGAACGTTCTTTCAAGTTTTTCTCTCTTATTTTTTCAAGTTACCAGAAATCCAGCTGGTAGAAATGGTCAGGGCTGACTATCTCAGGATCAGCATTTCCCTTTAAGATGAAGTCTCCATTAGCATTACTAACATGGTACTGTGCTGTCTTTCCATTTTCACATTGTACCAACACAAACACAATCACAGGCACCTGAAATTTTGTTTCAAGTTTCTCTCTTACATATTTTCCACCACCACCATGATTAAATGTCACTAGCATACCTATGAAGATTGCATGAGACCTCATGCTAAGATCATCATTGGCTCAGAAACCAAGTCTCTTCGATTCTAACATATTTTCTGTCATTAACCATTTACATACATGCTTTGGGGCAAGTCATAAACTTTCCAGCCCTCAGAATTGTTTCTATAAAATTATGAGAGGAGACCAGATGCCTGAGGTTTCTTCTAGCTGTGACATTTTATAATTCTAAGATCTCCACTTACCTTGTACGAATTTTCAAAAATTAGTTTTAGTTTCAGAAGGAGAAAAACGAGTGCCTTGCTGCTGGTTCTCCAGCTAATGAAAATATCAGAATCATGATTTGTATCCCTAGTATGTCTCTGATGCTTTCACTCTTGATACTACAAAACAGTATGAGCAAGCCCATGTTACTCCACAGAGCTGATTGAAATAAAACCTCTGGATGAGCTGGCTAAGCAAAGAGGTTATCAATGCATAACAGAGTACGTTCAATGTATAACAAAGTATGTTCAATTTATATTAATTTTTCTAAATACTTAACCTTTTCTTGCCAGTGACCACAAAAATATACTGCTTCCAAAATTTTATGAAATTCCACAATGCTTACAGTTCTACTTCATATTCAAGCATATATCAAGTAAAACTATGTCTTACCTTTAGTCCATTCTGTGGATTCATTAGAAAATTTCTTCCTATGTCATCAAACATAATGGTGTTTTTTTTGCTGTAAAACTCCGAAAACTTTCCCCATATAACACCAAGAGGCTTTACCTTAGAATGAAAGTTTAGATTTAACTCAAATTTTATCAATATTCATCCTTTGCTAAAGGCAGAGCTACTACAAAATACCCTGCAGAACTACGCCAAAGTGTTCCTCTGCTCCTATGAGGAGCAATGCCTGCCTGGGTGAACCCACCCAAGCTGAAATGAATTGAAATTCAATGCATCTCGCATTGTTAACTGAGCTATGTCTAACCAAACTAAATCGTTAATAAGTCTTTACATTTTCACATGGAAATCAAGAATCTAAAGTAGTCGCCAGATGTCTGTTGACAGTCACATGACTTCCTGGGCTGACACATGCTCCTCAAAGCTTCGAGGGGCTTATGGGTCTGTTTTTAAAACCAGACAATCTTAGTGACCATATACCTGGTTTTTGGTACAGAGTTTAAATATTTTGTAGAGGAAAAACTGATTTTTGTCTTTAATTCAGTGACAGGTCCACTGACTTCTAGGTCATTTTTCTGTTTAACTTCAAAAGCACAATGATTTGTAAATTCTTGCTTTTATTTGAGTTATTAAAATGCCCATCAAAAAAAGATAATCCCATAGGAATTCAAATCTGTGGACACTTGCATAAAATCTGTAAGATCACACAAGAAACAACAGTGATAGCCTGTAGGAAAAATAAGGACCTGGAGGGCCTGAATGGGAGGAAGATTTTTCATTATACACTTCATTTTTATTTTTGAATCATGTAAACTGTATTTTGCACATTCATAAAATTTTTCCAAATAAATTAACTTTTGGAAGAAAAAGTAGGTTATTTAAGGTAGGAGTCTCATTAATCTTAATATGAAAGTACATGGTAATAATAATTATATGACACTGAATTGTAGTAAGTGGTGACAAAGGCTACTGTTATAAATTGCTTTTTTCTTTATTTTAGTAGGTAGAAGGCCTTTTTTTCCTTGTTAGTGTTCCAGCTATGGCAAAGAAAATTACTGAAATATTTTAATTTTATTATTTAAAGTAATTCTATTTGCCTGAATTTGTTTTTACTACTTATTTAGTACTAAACAAAGTCCCCAAATACTTAGAGATATATGACTAGAGTTTTATGACACCCTGCACTAGAAATCCTACAGCCTCTTAAAAGTGAGGTCATCCACACCTGAAGAGAGAAATCCTTTATTATGAAAATATAAAAAAGGATGTTTAAAAACAAAGAAAGTGGGGTCATTTTGCTGTTATTTATTAGAGAATAATGCTGACTAAAGGAAAAATATGAAAACACAGAAAAGCAGAGAGGAAAAATTTAAATTACCTATAATTCAGTCAGTACCAAGGATAACTAGATATTCTGATGCTTAACCTCCAGGCTCTCGTAAATGGCAACAGCCTCACAGAGTTCACAGATTTTTTGTTAAGGGGAACCCTGAACCACAGAAGGTTAAGAACCTTTTCTAAAGTTTACAAATACTGATCTCTAAAATACTTCTTTCACTTTATTAATATATCAGAAAAAAATATTATCATGAAAAAATATCCTATTCTATTAACCCTTTGCACTCCGAACCATTTTACAATATTTTGATTTAACTTCTTGTGCCATTTCAAGATAAAACTCCAGGGAAACATGCATGTCTCAAAAAGTTGCGTTGAAATAACCTCAATTCCCCGTAATCACTAATAAATTGCAAAGTCCCCTGAGAGGGGACATCCGAGTGATATGCTAGAATTCCGATGTCCCCTGAGAGGGGACAGCGGAGTGCAAAGGGTTAAATGATTAGCATCCTTCCATTATATGAATGAAGAAAAAGTTTTATATCCACTTCTCTATAGCTGGATACTGAAGATTTATTTTTTTCTTCTCATTTTTCATGAGTATAACACTGCCATGTTTAACACTTCCCAAACCCTATAGTGTTTACATTTTTAAAAATGTACTACTTTAGTAGGTAGTAAATTATATTTTCCCAAGGTATGCTGTATTTCCTTTATTGGACAAATCGCAGGGCACTGAATAGTTCTATCATTTCTATGATTTCAGTACTATCTGCCCAAACTCTCCAAGTATGCTAAGTTCTCCCCAGTTTAGTGCTTCCAAACAGCATGGACCATGTTTTTTCATCTCTTTATTCCCAACAGTGTCTGACACAGTGCCATGCAGACAGAACTCACTAATATGGCAAGTAAACAAAGTTAAGGACCCTAATCTTTAGCTCAAACCCTTTCTCTGACGGCTCTCATTGCTCTTTTCTAGTGCACACACCAGGGTGTGCGGTTTTATCCGTTTCATGCAGGATAGGGTGACTATGTTTTGGTTTGTTTCTAGTCTCTTGCTTAGTAACATTTAGTAAACTACTCTGCCATTAGGAACTGTGCTGCCATCATCACGAGAAAATCTTCCATGACCTTTCTGGACAGTTCTATTCAAGATCGAAAATCTTAGGATTAAACTTAGAATCTACTGTCCTTAAATATATCTTCCTATGTCAAAATTCAATTGATATTTTACTATCTGCTTAGCTCTATATCCAATTTTTTTCTGTAATTTATTCTATCAATGAAAAGACAAAAATTACAAAACAAAAAGAACAAGTCTTTAAATAAAAGCAAAATAACTTCTTACATCTATCAATCCTCTCCTCGGAGTGTGCACTGTTATCATAGCAGCACTGTCCAACATGAAGGTAATCTTGTAATTTGCATTTGTGCTCACTCCCAGCTCCTATAAATAAATATTCATGTGGTTAAAACATAACATTGTAAAAAAAAATTCCAGACTTTCTGAATATTCCAACTACAATTTCCTATAATGCCAATTTTCTACCCCACTGGCCACCACATACTGCTCAATGACTAGGAAGTATTTTAATTTCACTGAGCTCAGTTAATAAATGGGAGTCCAAGGATAATAAACAGAAACAGATTACTTCTCATTTTGCGATTTCAGAAAATCATCACTCCTTTAAGTATTATATACCAGAGCAAAAGGAAGAAATGAAAGCATTATTATAAAATGGGAAGGAAAAGAAGGGAGAGTTTTTACTTGAAAAAGACAATCAATCCAATCCACAATTAAACAGACTGTAAACATCTGCTCCTGATAATGGTGTTTGATTATCTAGTGAATACCCTCCAATAAGAAAGAAATTAATTCAGTTCTAAACTTCTAAAAAGAGAAATACAGTGTCAAAACATTCTTAAATGGATTGTTTTCTAACACTTACTTTCATTTTAGCTTCAATCCACTTCATATTTGTTGCAGCTAAAACATGAGGAATGATAATACAATATACATGAAAAACTTGAATTTCACTTTAAAAATCTCTGCATAATAAGTTACTTAGGTTTTCTAAGCAAGACTAAAAGTTTAAATGCATCATCAATAATTATCCTTGGCATATCTATAGTAATTTAAATTATTTATAAATATAAACTCATTTTAGTGTGTCTTCAAGACAAAATTTAAGCAACTTTTATCTAAAAAACATGCAGGTAACCAATGCTCTAAAAAACTTGTAACCTAGGAAATGTATATATCAAGCCCTAAATTCCCTTGAAAAACAAGCCTGACATTGTTCCATATCAGTTCCAAATTTAGATTTAGGGTGCCTGGGTCTTCATTTTCTCCTATGTTCCAATTGCCAGATTATGCACAGATGTATGTGTCAATCTAAGCAGATTCATGGTATGTATAAAAAGTTAAAGTTGAAGAATAGCTAGGTAATGAAAATTAGCATTTTACCAGCTCAGCAAGCTTAGTGCTCACCAAATCTAAGAGCTTTTAATAAGATCTAAGACAATTTAATTCACAAGGCTATATCTAAGTTACCTACCTATCTGCTCATTGTCAGACACCAATCACTAATCTTAACATTCAATCCTCAGTTTTATATGCTCTGCTGGTCCCAGGTTACTGGACTAAATCGTATAGGTATTATCAAGTAAAATGTTTAAAAAGGGAAAAGGAGTTCAGTCATTTAAAGTGTGTCTGTTTTATAGCAAAAGAGGTACCTGAGTTCTCAATATAGAAATCTTAGTACAAGCACGAGAAGCGTAAGAATTATCAGACATGCACAATTGGTTAGATAAACTAAAATTGAAGAGACAGATGTATCTACAAAAATAGTCACGAGATTGGGAAAAACATTTTTTTATATTCAGTGTCTACTTGGGATCTACAATTTCTAGATGAAAACCAAACAGATTCACAGTTAATTAAGAAAACGGGTTTCTAATTATTAACGAACTGTTATATACTGACCTATTAAAACCAGAATTAAAACCCTAGTCTATTTTCTTCCCAAGTGAAATGCCCTTTTTTAAGCCACTATCACAAAATTCCATAATTTACAAAAAGTAAATGATTTTAAATGTATGACTATTAAAAGTTCTCTAAATTCTAAGTCTACATTAACAAAATTTAAAAGGAAAATTTTTTTCTCAAATGTCGTCTTAGATGTCAGAGTTGTTAAACTAAAATTTGTGTCTCAGGAAGCTTTCTTCCCTGGAACTTAACAAACTAGAAAATTATGTATTTAATCTAATGGCTGTGAACTTGTTTTTTTTTTTTTTAAGATTTACTTTTAGTTATTTATGTATACAAGAATGATGTGTAGGCCAGAGGTACAGGGGGTAAAAGGATTCATCAGAGACACAGTAGGAAGCAGGACAGGTGGATATACTGAAATACATTGCTGAGGGGAGCAGCAGGCGAGACAGGGGGGCAGCGGGTGAGACAGAAGAGGTCTGCTGCACCATGTGGGTCAGCTCCCTGGCCGGGGATCAAACTCATGCTGCAGTGAATGGCGCTAGCTTAATATCCACTGAGACTTTAACCCCTGTACCATGAGGGAGGCCCTGTGAACTCACACTGACACTGATGAGCAGAGATAATCTGATTATAAGGAAAAGTACTGAGGAAATTTACAGACTCTAATAACAACTCCATGGTTTCTCATTAAAATCCTAGTTTAACTAATAAAGCATCTGTAACTGATGCGACTTTATCCAAATCTCAATCAGGATAGCTCTTTCCTGCTTATGACTTTCTAAAAGGCAACTTCAAATATTTGTGGAAAGAATATACACAAAGAAAGAAATATTTGTGGAAAGAAATCAGTAGTCCACTTTCCTTTTTAAGAAAATTTTGCTACCAAAAAAAAAAAATCTTGCTACTCAACAGCGTATTCCATGACAGTGAGATGTACTTTTTGGACAAAATTCATTATCTTCCCACAGACTTAGGTTCTTGGAAAGGCCCACTGACCACAATTTGAATGACAATGCTTTCCTAAGCACAACTTCATATTCTTTATTTTGAAGAACTATACATCATTGTGATATTTATTTTTATCCAGTATTTGGAAACTAGTTTTATAAAGAAAGCGGAGCAACGACATTGAAAGCAGGAGTCGTCTAAGTAAAGCTCAGTGAGAGACTCCCAATCAAGATGGGGTTCGTGACACCATGATCTACTCTTACAAATGGAACTATTTCAATGATACTTGGCAAATATGTATATAAATTTGTATTGTGATCCAAGGAAGTCAAACATGCTTCATCAGAATTTGCTAATACAAATGAAAATTGATCATATTTAAACACAGGTCATTTTAAGTCATATTTTCTAAAGTAAGATATATAAGGAATAACCTATTTCCATAGAAATCTGAACAAAAATATAGCTTACACCAAATAACAATGTCATAATCCTCATAGGCAGAAGTCAGGAATTCATGAAGATATGGCCGCATTAACTCTACCCCAGTCTCCGCACAAGACCTATGGTCTACAAGAAAACCAGTCACATATGATAATCAGCTTATTATCTCAGTTAAGGATGTAGTATCCATGAAACTTGTAGGATGCCACACAAACACAAACTACTTCAGACTGAGTAACTTTCGCTGACAGAGATGTTTTTCAAAGCACAAAATTTAACATCCTTGTGATCAATTTTAAATGATCAGTTTTGCTCAGTTTTCAAAGAATACCCAGAATTCAGGTTTATATAGTAAACCCTAATTTTATTTTTCATCTCATCTCTAAACATAGATTTTTATGATTATGAGAAACAAACTAGGATCAGTTATATTCACTTTTAGCCATTCTTCCAGATATAGCCACATTTCACCAAAATAACAGGTCCAATTAGTAATTAAATTTTAAATAAATATATATTAACATCACATGTATTTAAAGCTTAGGATTAGAGATAAAGAAATTCATTCTAATAATAGCACTTGATAATCTAGTGAAAGTACTTAGTCAGTTCTTGACATCAGGGAAAGGAATAAAAAAATTTTTTTGTCAACATGAGAAATTTTAAATTCAAGAATCAGCCCTGAACATTATTAAAAGAGAAAACCTGGGATAAAATATCAAAAATAATTTTAAAATAATCATCATAAAAATGTAAATGTCAATCAATAAAGAATGACTTGGTTGAATTATGATGTATAATAAACTAGAATAGTTCATAAAAAAACACATATATTTAACTATAACAATATTTAATGATGGAGAGAATGTCCAATGTACCATTAGGTAAAAGCAAAAAGGACACATATAAACACACCCTGGAAGACACATATTACATGTCAAGAGTCATCATCTTGGGTCTCAGGATGACAGATGACTTCTTATTGTCTACAATGAACAATTTACTTTTGTAATAAGAAAAGTTTTCAAATAATTCATGTGAATCCTAAGTTGCAAGGAAAGAATAAACAAACAAAAGGGGGGGAAAAAGTTGCAGGTACAGAGATGAAGTGCAATTTTAGCTGACTTACCAAATAACGTATAATCAACATCTAGAACCAAAAGCTTTTTCCCTTCCCTGGGAGGATTCAAAATTTCCACTTTGTACTCTTTTACTCTGCGAGAAATTTTCAATAGGTTTTCTTCCCTAATACAAAAATAAAATCATGAAACATTCACTTTTTCTCACATTACAACCAATGTCCTATGACAGTAAAAAGCACTTACCTGTTTTCTACTTCAACCACTTCATCTTCAATATCAAAGTCGTTGACAACATCATCATTGTCAGGGGGTGGACCTAAGACATCTTCCTAATAAATGAAAAAGTTTTGTTTTACTGGTTTGTCTTGAAGTTGGCAAACACATGCGTAACATAAATATTAAATGAGAGATACAACTTGAGCTCAAGAGTCTTTCAAGCACACACTGTGGGAAAAGTCCCACATCTAACAATTCTTTATACTGGGTGACTGTGTTAAATGTGACGATTTGCACTACTGCTCTACTTACAGCTAACTATATACTAACAAGTTTTCCAGGATTTGTTTTCTGTTGAGTTAATGCCACATCCACTAGACAGCTTTTAATTTTCATTGATGGCTAAAGTGATAGCTATACCATAATAAAATCTATGATACAACAATGAAAGAGAAATCATATCTTCAAAGGGACAAATGGTAACAAAAATAAACATTTACCAAGCTCTCCTCACGAGTTCCCATCATCATGATTTTAGTATTTGGTTTCAGTTTGAGAGCTCCAAGCTTAACATCATTTTCTGCAGGTTTGCCTACAATACAAGCAAATGACTGTTTTCTCACTAAAGTTCAGATGCTGTTTCACTATCCCATTATACAAAACCCTAACATGAAAAGGTTGGGTACAGATTCCACAGCAGTTTTTTTTTCCCTTAAATTAACAAAGTGTTACTGCTGAATTAGTTATGTCTAATTGCACTAAAAAGTAACAACTAACACAAGGTTTGTTTTTTCCCCCAATTCCATCTTAGAGGAAAATCTTTATTCAACTAACTAAACAAAATAAAGTTATGTTTTATTCTGTTATTCAAGATGAAGATAGCTATTTCCTGGAAAAGACTTGGAAATAGAGTGCCTAAGAAAAAACTTAAGATTTCCTGCTACTTAAAACTCATCCTTCAATGATAGAGCAAACACAAACATCATGAAAATCATCTTTAAAGTTGATTCATATGAACACTGCTTATCATTTTTAAATCATTACTTGCAAAAGAAAAGGTAATTGGAGTAGAGTTGTGGTGAAAGGTTGTGCTGGAAGGCATTTATCAGAAAATAAATGCCACTAGTTTACCTGGGATTTCTATGCAAAAGGTTTAAAGCAAACACCAACTGTCAGAGGAATCTAAAGTAATTAATAGTGGTAGTTATTTTTAAGCAGACTTTAAATTCTAACTTTCACCATAAAGCAATTTTAGGAATTCCCTACAAAGAAATCTCCAAGGGTGAAGACTTACTAAAGAGAAAAACAGATAATAGCCAGTATAAAAATTTATAAATGGCAAAAATTTGAAGTGGGGAGATACTCACCTTTCACTTTGAGTCCAAGCAACTTCTGGCGTTCAGGCAGCACTCCCGTAAGAGTCTTGAGAAACTGTTTGAGATCCAGTATAGTGTCATCTTCTGAAAGCGTGGTCACTGAGTATTCCTGCCCACCCCACTTTACGATAATAGGCAGAGCCATCCTTGAAACATATAAGGCAGCTTTCCTTCAGGGAAAAAATACCTAGAGAGGAAGGCATACACAAACAAATAAGTTAAAACAGACATACTGGAGATATATCCAAACTTGTAAGTTTTATAAGCTACATAGCCTGAATCCTATTTTACAACTTGATGGAAGAATAACAGATTTTTTGCTTACAAAAGTGCTACCAGAATGCCAAGCTATTAGAACTGAAAGTGAAAATTCCTCCACCCTCCCAATTTTTGGCTTAAAGTTACTACTTCTTAATACTCTAGCAGATTCTCCCTGTTCAACTGAAAAGCTGCTATGAGTTACTTATTCCTCTGGCTTGGTCTCATTGGATTAATGCTATAGCTAAATCCCTCCATAGTGGGCCACTCACGGTCATTAACATTGGAGAAGCATAGAGTACCTGCTTAGATCCCAGCATTCCACTTATTAGCATTTTAACTTTGGAAAATACTGGGACCTTACTGGCTAGGTTTCCTCATCTTTAAATAAGGATGATAATACTCCAACTAATTAGGGATCTTATGAGGATTGAATTTACTAATATTTCTAAGTCACATGTTCCTGGCACATAGTAAGCACTAAATAAGAATTGATTAATAACATTTTTTTTAAACTGAAAGCTGAATATGTGCCAAACACTGGGCTAAATAAATGATAAACGACCATTACTTGTTCCATATTTAATAAATTGGACCATTTTGTGCAGATAATCTTGTTTAACAAGGCTGTATGATAAGACCTGTCCCTCTTTTGCAAGTGAAAATGGGAGTTAGAGAGGTTATGTAATCTGTTATGGCACATAGCTTGGCCTTCCGACTAAATCTCCTTTCCTACCCTATACAACTGTCTCCTGAAATGGACCAACAAAGGAGTTAGGACACCGAAAATCAAGCACAGACATATGCAAGATTATAAAGCAGCGGCTACTCCCAACAGTAGTAGCAAGGAGGTCTCTTTGCTCATAAGCTTTCTACTTGTGTTCACAGCTCCTTCCCCCCCAGGTCAGAGAACTGGATTTTCTAATTTTGAAGGACTGCTAATTCCAAAAGCTGTGACTTAGTAGATGAAACTCTTGAATGCACTCTTCATGTATTAAGATCAAATGAAAAGGTAAGACCAAGAGGAAAAAGTAACCTAAGAAAGAGAAAAAGGGGCCTCCCTGGTGGTGCAGGGGTTGAAGTCTCAGCACTATCAATCTATTGCCAGCCACTGGGGCATGAGTTTGACCCCTGGCCAGGCAGCTAACCCACAAGGTGCAGTAGACATCTCCTGTCTCATCCGCTGCTCCTCTCAGTGGTGCATTTCAGTTGATCTGCTTGTTCTGCTCCCCACTCTGTCTCTGGTGAATCCGTTCTCTCACACACACCCCTCCGGAACCTCTGGCCTACACCCCAGTTCTTGTATGTATAAATAAATAAAATAAATCTAAAGAGAGCGAGAGCGAGAAAGATAACTTTAGAAGCAGGATGCAAAAATAATTTGGAAACTTAAGAGTGTCTTCAACATGTCCAATAGTAGAAGAAAGCACCATAAGTTTACCTATATTTATCTCATTTGTTTACAACCTGTCCTACTAAACATTTAAAGCAAGCAAGTGAATTTAGGGCAATGTATTCCACTTGAGAGCTAATTTACTCTGTTACAATCTTCAATAAAAAGCCAAATGGACTTTTCAGTCAAATTGAAACAGTTTCAATATTATATTTCTTTAAGAGGTGATGTAAGATTAAAGTTTGTAAGTGCTAAAAATACAGTCAGTACTAATAACAGTATATGCTGTAATGGGCAAAACAGAATTTGGAGTAAGATCAGCTGACCTCCAAGTCACCTTGGACAAGTCATTGCCCCCTACACTAGTGTTCTCGAAGCGTGGTCCCTAGACCAATCAACAGCACTAGGACTGGAGAGCAGGGGCCCAGCAATCTGTGTTTTAACAGTCCTTGTCTCCCCTCCTCCACTAGCCAATCTCCCAGACATGCTGAAGTTTGAGAATCATTGTTCTAGGCTCTTTAATTGTCCCCATCTGTGCCAGATGGCATGGATTCTATGTGCTTAGTAAAGCAGTATACAAACATTAGGCATTGCCTAGGCCACAAGTGGGAATTCTAAATTGGCAACTGCTCTAAAGGACTGGGCATAACAAAACACTATAAAATTTTTTTTAAAGCACAAGTCCTTAAAACTGTTTTTAAAAGTTACCAAGCCTCATTTCTTCCATATTCAGTGGAGCAGCACAATACAAACGCATGAACAATTGCAGGTTTTCACAGGTAACTTACTTTCTCACACAATTCAAATATTTTCTATCTTTCAGGACCCTATCAGATTTATAAACCGACAAATGATTTGGAAAGGTGTTAGCAACCAAACCCACAGTAGGAAGTACAAAGTATGTTAATGGTGAAGCTGGAGTCAAAAATAGTTGTTTGGATTGCTTCTGCCAAATATACTATGTTGATGGGCCTAGTCAATTCCCTACCTCCAGAAGAGGCCAGTAGTATTTAACTGACAAGCCGAGTGTTAAGATGTAAAACTGATAACCCGACACCACTTTGTAAACTGCAAAGAGCAACACTAACGGCGGTGATGCTGGAGTGGCCATGAAGACATGCTGGACCATTTCACTGAACTACCTCCTTCAGTCTTCACGAGCCTAAACTAACAACTACTGTCTTCCTTCTACAGATTACAAAACTGCCAGAGAAGTGAAACGTACTCGTGCAAGACCACGCACAACTGAAAAGTAGCAAAGGGGACACTTGAAAGTCACAGCTGCAGAAGTTAAGTATCTTGGGGATTGAAGGAAGGGGGTTAACATTTCACTGCACTTGGAAGGTCTCGGGGAAGGGCTGTCACCTCCGCTCGCCAGGCACGCTCGCAGCATCCACGGGGGCCGGAGCTGCGGAAAGGGGGGACCTCTTTAAAACCCGAGGGCTGGGGTGCCCTCAACAAGAGGGTTAGGTAAGGGGGGAGACTGACAAACCCCAGAGGAGGGAGAAAGGAAGTTCGGGGACGCGGAACCCACTTGGACGTGGAGAGCCCCCGACACAGGCACAAGAGCCGACCGGAGGGCGGTGGCCGCTGCGACCCGCAGGCCGGGGCCGGAGATGTGGACGTCGGGACGGACGCGTCCAGCCCGCCTCGCCCGCCGCGGAGAAGGCCACGCCAAGGGGACCGATGAGCGGCGGTCCCCCGGCCCAACGGCGCCTCCGCGGCGAGCACGCCGGGAGCCGCAGGTCCCCTCACCTGGAGCGCGGAACCAGCGGCAGCGGACGCAGAAACCGGCCGCAGCGGAACCCAAGCGACCGGAAGTGGAAGGTGGGGACCGGAACCGGCAGCGGAACCGGAAGTTAGCCTTCAGGACCGAAATGCGTCGGAGACGCTGCTGGTGCTCTCCGTGTCCCTGGTCGCGGGGGTAGTCCTCGTATCCCTTTCCAGGGAGCGCCTCGCCGCGCTGAGGGGGTCGGGCTTTTCCGCTGTGTAGACTCCCGCAGCGCTCCCGGGACAAGGCCTGCATGGCCACGTGTGCGCATGCGCCCTTTGTAGACGCTGAGTGCCCTGGGGGCTTTGGGTGTGACGTTATGTTGTATTGTTTCCCCGTAGTCGGGCGGCGCACAGCAGGTCTCTGGCTATCCTGCAGTGCTGTGATCCCCCGTTAGTGTGCCAGGTCTCGTGTAAGACCCGACAGGTGACCTCTAAGACTGAGATTTGAGACCCCTCCTGGCACTAGAGACTACACCAGCACTAGTAATTACATGAGTTTAGGATGCCGTCCTTTATAATCCAAGGGGAAACTGAGGATCGTGAGGAAAAGGGAGAGGCAGTTCAAGGAAGTAAATCTCAAAAGAGAGCTGCCATGGAGATGACTAGTACCGTATTTTATCTCTCCCCGCTCATCCCGGTCAACTTGGCATCTTCCTTCTGAATGCGAGGAAAGCTAATGGCAAGCCCTGATAAAAGAATTCCAGACATTAATGGGAATTCCCAGCAGTCCCTAGTTGGTCCATACAAAGAACTGTTAGGCAACACAAAGAAAAGAAAAGAAAAATCATTATCCACTAGATTGGTTTTTAGGACTACAAATAAAATTTAGGTTTTAAGAAGGAAGGGAAGGGCCTCCCTGGTGGCTCAAGGGGTTAAGCACCACACTATGAAGCAATTTGCAGCCTCTGCAGGATGAGTTCGATCCCTGGCCTGCCAGGGAGCTATCCACATGGTGCAGTAGACCTCTCCTGTCTCGCCCGCTGCTCCCCACAGCAGTGTATTTCAGTGGATCTGCCTGTTCTGTTACCCACTCTGTCTCTGGTGAATCCTCTCAACGCCCTCCCCCCTAATCTCTAGCCGGTACCCCAGCTGTTATATGCATAAATCTTTAAAAAAAAAAAAAAGGAAGGGAAAATACGAAAATAGTACTGGCCTTGAATTTGCACCAGTCCTTGAATTACTTGTATCTTTCCTCCTATTTGACAATTATGTAATGGATTCAAGTTTCCATCTTGGCTGTGGTAGGGAAGCAAAAATTTTGTGACTTAGCACTTTAGTTAAGACACTATTTTATGTTTTTCCCTCTCTCTTTTGTAATGTTTATTGCATTAGTAATGTGTGAATTCTGCTCATTAAATAAATCAAACGTATTTTTAGAGAAATAAAATTTTTCTTTCCAAAAAAAGAGAAGGGGAAAAACCAAAGTTAAAAGAACCTGTAAAAAAAAAAAAATTACACAGTTGTAATCCAGTTAAAGAACATCAAAAGGGCCTCCCAGGTGGCGCAGCGGTTGAGCGCTGGGTTGCGAAGCTGCCCGCGGCTGCAGCGCCGGTTCGATCCCCGGCTGCTCCCCAGCCACCAGAGGAGGATCCCACATGGCGCACAGACCTCTCCTGCCGCCCGCTGCTCCCCTCAGCAGTGTACTTCAGTCCTTCTACCTGCTCTGCTCCCCGCTCTGACTCTGGTGAATTCTCTCACTCTCCCACGCTTCTGACTGTACCCAGTGCATGTATAAACAAAACAAACAAACAAAATAAATAAATAAAAAACACGCCTCTATTAAAAAAAATAAAGAAAGAAAGAACATCAAAAGACAAGATACTGAACTCCACAAGGAATTCCAGGATGAATCATAATTTCCTTTCAATCAACTCTATTCTTGCTTGTTCACATGCTAACTAGCTGCTTGGCCATTCTGTATTTTTTGCTGTTGTGATTTATTAATCATCAGGGTCAACTAAAAAATTTCAAGCATCACTAACTTAAAGCAATAGGGTTCATAAGGAGGTTCTTTTTAATGAAATAACTGCTGTTCAAAGGATCTGCTTAAGTTCGGTATTACCAGAGTGTGAATAATTTAATATCTGTTTACTGTGTTGAAGAGTAGTATTTCTCAATAAATAATGGCAACAGAGTATTTTAAATAAGTGGTCCATTTAACAGACGATTTTAAATTATCTTTTGCTCCTATCTCAGTTCCTCCACATCCATTTCTGTTTAGCCAAACAGTCATGAAATCAAAAATAATGCCAAGAAAACACTTGGAGTAGATAAGAAATACCATTTGAATAAAGGAACTGTACTCTTGAAAACTAGAAATAAATACAAAGTGAACCTAAGAAGGTTCACAGCAACTCATAAGTTGCCAATGAGAAGAGAAAATATAAATTTCTCCCTCCTAGAGCCTGTTGTAGTGCATAGAGAATAATGTACTTGTGCCTCACTCAGTCTTCTCTCCAGCAATTAAAGATCCATGACAATTCTTCCACAGGATTTAGATAGGTTGCCAGGTCTAATATAGTAAAAGAGTTGTTGAACCAATTTCACAAAATCAGAAAAACTGCTGATAACACTTTGGCCATGTTTGGATTCCTGCATGAGGACCAGAAATTTACCACCACCTTCCTTTTATCTTAATCTCCCCCTGACCTGTTAACTTCCTCCTTCCCTTTTTACTTTTAGGCCACTTTTTTTCTCCAGCAATTGCCTTCTTTTCCTTTTCCCATCTCACACTTTCCCACATAAATCTTTCCTTCTTGTCCCAGTTAGAAGACAATCTTCTTTTTCATTTCTTTCTAAAATTTAGCTCACTATAGCACTTTGTTTCTCACTTCTAATATCTATTCCCTTACCGTTTTCCTGACTGCCCTCAAGGAGCTGAAAATGCTTAGAAGCTACCCCATAGCAGCGTGGAGAGATTACCACCTTTCTCTATTCAACTCGCTTTCCCAAAATGACTACTTAAAACCTCAATTCTCTTTAAACCCCAGACCTTTCATCTAACCATTTTATCCTTACTTTTGGCAGATGCTACTGTCTCATATTTTGCTAAAAAAAAATAAAAATTAAAAAAAGGAAGGTCTAAGAGTAAAGGCCTCAACTTTAAGCCTTTAAATGGACTAAGCTATATCAATACTCATCCTTGCTATATCAATACTCATATCAATACTCATTTTTGCTTCTGTTTCAATTGCACCAATTTCCTTATGCCTGAAGCCAACCTTTATACTTGGCCTTCCCTCTCTGGAAGTGTTCTGTAAATCTAAAATATCACATATTCATGTATATGCATAAAGCATAGAAAAAGTAAAAAGCAAGGATAGACATAAAAATTTACAGTAGTAAGGCTATATCTGTATTATTTTAATTGTAAAAATTCCTCTCTATTATCTTTAACCTTTTCTTACCGGTTCAGTCCCGTCAGCAATAAACATGCCATGGTATCTTGCAATGGTAACTATTATCCTTTCTTTTCACAGTTTGGTATTTCAAAGCATTTTTTTACAGTTGTCTACACTTGACAAAATCTGCATTGTATATTTCTTAACAGAAATTTGAGTGAGTCTCTCACTATACAGCAAGCTTAGTGAGGAGATAGAACATGTCTGTTTCAACATGTTCATGGCTAAAGTGGGTGCTCTATAAATATTGGCTAAATAAATGAAGAGAATGTCAAGAAGTGAAAGTACATTATATAGTGATACATATTATAGCAGTACACATAGTGAATGACTATGATTTGTATATGACTAGATGCACACAAAAGTTCTGAAATATATACCAAAATGTTGGTGACTAATGGCTCCACAGAATGCAATTAGTAAATACTCATTACATCAATGAGTGAAATGATCTCTTTATGGCACTATAGAACAAGTGATTCTCATCTTGTTTTTAGTTTTTTGTTTGAAATTTTGACAATAATTTTACATTATTTTTTATATAAGAAAATCATGAAGGAATTTTTATATCTGTATTTTTATATCTGTATTAAAATTTTTATATCTGTATTAAATTTTATATATCTGTATATAATTTTTATATTTTTATATCTGTATTAAATTTTTATATCTGTATTAAAATAATACAGATATAGCCTTAAAATAATACAGATATAGCCTTACTACTGTAAATTTTTATGTCCTTGCAATTTTACTTTTTCTATGCTTTATGCTATACATGAATATGTGATATTTTAAAATAATTATAGGTTGCAAAATAAAGAGATCATGATGCCCTTCACCTGGTCCTGAAAAATGATTGCTTCCTATGTAACTATAGTCCATCTCCAAAGCAGGACATTGATGTTGGTATAATGTGCATCATGTAGTTCTATGCCATTTTATCATGTGCTGATGCATGGAACTACTACAATCAAGATGCAGAACTCTTCCATCAACACAGATATCCCCTTTGCTACTTACTCCTTTATACTCACACCCATCCCCATTGCTCTCACCATTGCTAACCCTCTGTCAATGATCTGTTTTCCAACTCTAGGATTTTTGTCATTTCCAGAATGTTATATAAATGTTATCGTATAGACTATGACTTTGTGCTTAACAGAAGCCCCGTGAGATCTGTTCAAGTTAAGTTATTGTGTGTATCAGTAGTCTAGTCCCTTTTATTACTGAGTAGGATTCCAGGATATGGATTTACCACAAATTTCTAGCCATTCACCTGTTAGATGTTTTGTTTATTTACAGTTTCTGGCTTTTACAAATAAAATAGACCTTTTATATTAAGGCTTCGTATTCCACTTGATTGTTCTCTCCTTGCTTCTTCTGTTTTTGGTTTTCCCATTTCTCTGTCCTGTCTTTCTGTGGGTGACAAAGCAAAATCAGCAGTGGGGAAAGCTTCATGGAATGAAGTCCAAAGGAAACCAGTTCTCTCCCAGGGGAACTGCCCAGGATCCACTTCATTTTTCCATCAATGAATTGTGTCAAAGGTATGAATGTTATCTCCCAGGGAAAATCATTAGAGATTTAGTATCCCAGGCCTTGGGTGTGAACTGGTCAGTCACATAGGTACTCACTGCCTAGCACCAGTTACAGACCCCTAGGAACAGGTGTGCAACATAAACCATATAAATCTTGACTGTTTGCTTGAACGTTCTAGGCACAGTGTTAGACACCCTTCCCATTTAGGGAAAGTCTAATATCAATGTAGAGAAA